TCTTTAAGAGATTTCTTAGAGTCTGAGCTTCAGAAGAGATACAAGGATGCTGCTCCAGCAACACTAGCTTTGCTTGAACAGCGTTGCTCTGAGGTAACCGACGATATGCTGAGAATGGATATGAAAATTCAAGCTACTTCTGATGTTGCTCACCTCAGAAAAGCAGCTATGCTATACACTGCTTCTATTAGCAATCATGTGGTAAGTAATTTGTAAATATCAGCTTCTGTTGCACCGTTTTCAAGGCTTACAGTGGATCATACTTCAAAACTACAACAACCTTCTAATTCTTTGGAAATAAGCTGAAAAATGACATTTTTTTTGGTTTTATTTCTCAAGGGAGCTTTGATTGATGGAGCTGCTAATCCAGCACCTGAGCAATGGGGGAAAACAACTGAAGAAGAACGTGGCGAGAGTGGCATTGGAAGCTGGCCAGGCGTAAGTGTGGATATTAAGCCGCCCAATGCTGTTCTTAAACTCTATGGAGGAGCGGCTTTTGAAAGAGTAATTCATGAATTCCGTTGTGCAGCCTACTCAATCGAGTGCCCTCCAGTGTCAAGAGAGAAGGTATACTTCACTTTATTCTCAGTAAACCCTAAACAACTTAGATATACTTCTCCGAGAAATATAAAGTTGAACAGGTAGTATAAATTGTTCAGGTAGCAAACATTCTGCTTGCTCATGCTGGGCGTGGAGGTGGTAGAGGAGTAACAGAAGCTTCTGCAGAAATTGCTCGAACCGCTGCACGGTCATGGCTCGCTCCCCTTCTTGATACAGCCTGCGACAGGCTTGCCTTTGTATTAGGAAGTCTCTTTGAAATTGCTTTGGAAAGAAACCTAAACCAAAACTCAGAGTGTAAGAATCTTTCTAATAATCCTTGTATCTTTTTAAATTATCCTAGTTCCCCTGCATCTTATTAACACATGGTCTTTGCAGATGAGAAGAAAACTGAAAATATGGATGGGTACGTTGGTTTCCATGCTGCTCTACGGAATTGTTACAGTCGCTTTGTGAAGAATCTTGCGAAACAGTGTAAGCAGTTAGTAAGACACCATCTTGATTCAGTGACCAGCCCATATTCCATGGCGTGCTATGAGAATGACTACCACCAAGGAGGAGCGTTTGGCTCGTATTACAAACCGAACCAAGCCTCAGGCGGTGGTTCGTTTTGCTTCGAGCTATCTGATACCGGGCGTGATGATGAGCCAATGAAAGATCAAGAAAATATTCCTCCTGAGAAGAGTAATGGCCAAGAGACAACACCAGGAAAAGGAGGAGAAAGCCACATAACAGTCCCTGAGACTCCATCACCGGACCAGCCATGCGAGATAGTGTATGGTTTGGTAAAGAAAGAAATTGGGAATGGTCCTGATGGTGGTGGAGCCAGAAAAAGAATGGCGAGAATGGTGGGAAACAGGAACATGGAGCCACTTAGGATTCAGAATGGTGGTGCGCTTATGTTTGGTAACGGATCGAAGTCGAGCTCTGCTTACTCTGAGATATGTTCATCAGCTGCGCAACATTTTGCTAGAATACGCGAAGTTCTTGTGGAAAGAAGCGTAACATCGACTTTAAACTCTGGGTTTCTAACACCTTGGTAAGTCTTTTTTTGATGAATGTTATAGTTTCCTTGTAGAAGAAGAAATCATTTTGATTTGAATTTCCGTTTTGTTTGTTTGTTTGTTTGTTTGTTTTTGCTCAGCCGAGACAGACTAGTGGTTGCACTTGGATTGGATCTGTTTGCAGTAAATGATGATAAGTTTATGGACATGTTTGTTGCACCTGGAGCCATTGATGTGCTGCAACACGAACGCCAACAGCTTCAGAAACGCCAGAAGATTCTTCAATCTTGCTTGACAGAGTTCAAAACCGTGGCTCGTTCTCTATAACCAAAATGAATGATCATTGTCTCTATGATGTTCTCTTCTCTGTAACAGGTGATTTATATGTTGTTTTATGCCTAATTTCAAGAATCAGTAGAGCTTTAATGATTTGCTTTTTCCTTTTTTTTTTCAATCCTCTTCTTGAGACGGGACAAAAAGGTCTTTCTTATTTGAAGTACTGTCCATTATAATGATGACTAATGAAAAATGTAACTAACAATTAAAAATGGGTTAGCTAGGGAACATCTTTAATTAACGAAAATTGGAAGATTCTGTAATAAAATTAGGGTTTTGCCTGCAATATATAATCGTCTATGAGATATCTGACTGTATGTAGTAAACAAACACACAGGAACCAACTAGCAATAAACAAGAATCAAATGCAAGAATTAAATGCAAAATCAAGCTTTGGAGTTTTTTTGTTGTTGTTTCAGTTTACCCTTTTTTGTCAAAAGTGTAGAAATAATTATGACGTAAGAAATGAGAAAGAAAATGGATATGGCTTTGTGAGAAACAGCTTAGCTGGATCGCATAGTTGAAACAGAGAATCTATGGAGAAGATTTGAAGAAAGATTGGTTCCGTTGAAATTCCCATAAACGAAGAGACAAATCTTGTTCCTCATGGGATCGAAAGAAAGGAAGAAAAAGTAAATAACATATAGCTTTTTGCACTCAACACGAATCGATTCAAGTTGGTACTAATTTACAAAACTTTGTTTTCACAAGCATACAGATAAAGATGCTCTAATATTGTTGAAGATTAATTAGTTACATATTATACTACTAAACCCTAAAAAATAAGATTACTTCGGTAACTCATTTTAAGAAGTTAGATCACTTAGATAATAAAATATACATATATATTTTTGTTTGGTAAATCCAGACAAATTTTGATACGTGTCATGATAATTTTCGATATAATTCGGTCACTGATATCGACAAGTAATATTTTGGATTCTTAAAACCAAAGGCATCTTTCGTTATTGGAATGTGGCTACGGTCCTACGGATAGTTACGTCCGTTTTGTTTGCTAATGTAAAAAAGAGCGACGCGGAGGAACGAAGGAAGTAATGCAGAATATGAATAAAAGGATCGAACAATTTAAAAGTTTTAATGCGAACAAACTAGTATCAACCAATGGACTCTTATGACTCAGATATACCGAGATAAGAATTAATCTGTCATATATTCTTCTCTTCGTGGTTATTATGTATGTTGTAGACAATCTTTTTATTTCCGGGGTCACAATTTAGAATTTTTTTATTTTGGGTTAGAGCCTAAAACTTAAACGCCAACTTTTTACTTGAGAAGATTTCAAGTGATTAATCACTTTTCTCTACCGAAGACTCAAATAAAGCTTTATGAAAATCATTTTTATCCGTTGGTTATATAAGTTACTTATGACACATCTAGCGGAGATGTGACACATGGACAATCAGAGTCCACTTGTAAACCAAAATTTCGCCAAACCAAAAACGAACCAAACAGCTGTCTATGTCTCTAAACCGAACCAATCCAACCGAATCCAAAAACCAAATTGAGATATTTTTTATTTCAATAAAAATGACCAATGAATATTTTTTTGTTGTTGTATTTACTCTTTAGGTCTAGTTCTGATTTAAAAATCAAACAAAATCAATTTTAATTCTAACCCAACAATCTTCCCAGACCAAACCAAACCGGAAACTGATTACCTGACTCGTAGTCGTAGGGACAAGTTTATTCAGTTCTGTAAAACAAAAAAAGAAACAAAAAAAAATAAACAAATGCAACTTTTGCAAAGCCAAAAGTACGTTGTGTCAGAGAGAGTGTGTAAAAATGTTGCATGTGAAACCTTTGCGTTCTGTATCTTTCACTACCCACTAAATTCTAGTATTCCAGTTTTAGTAAAAATAGGGAAAAAAATAATGACAATAAATGTAAAAATTGAAGGAAAATCACACAGTTTTAGGTAAACCACTAAGTAAAAGAGCTATCTTGCTGCTGCCACTTCTTTAGCTGTTTAACTCAAAGAGTCAAAGTTACTTTCATTTGATTCAGTGACTCCAGTCAGAGACTTAGAGTTATGAACTTATGATGCAATTTGTCAGTTGTGGCTTCTCCACACAACACACTGGAAAAAAAAAACAAGAGAGACTCAATAAATTGTGAGAGACATTATTACTTCTTCTTTTTTGTTTGGTCATCGAGAGACATTATTACTTTTTTGGTGAATACAGCTAAAAGAATTACCTTAAAACTCAAACCAAATCTGTCAGAAAATTGGTTCCAAATGATGTCTGTTTACGTCACTTAAATTAAAGTAATCTCATTGGTCTATTTCTCCATCTTTCAATCTGTAATTCTAATTCCCCACTTCTACAAAGAATATTTATATAACCAATGGTGATAAATGCTAGCACAAGAAAGAAATCAAAAGGGTTTGATCGTATATAAGCATCTACTCTTATTCGTTTCGTTTGTTCTGGTCCAGACACATAATATCCATGCTTAGAACATCAAATACCCCAAATCTAGAACACGATCGATCTTAAAACAAACTAGGGATCAAAATCCTACGTTTATAGAGTAAATGAGTCTGCAAAAGAAGACTTAAGGTTGCAAGCAAAGGAATTCAGAGTCGCATCAATCTATTAGAAGGACTTTTGTTTTGTTCCTAAAGAACAAAAGTATTGTCATATGAGTTAAGCCCATGTGTATACTATGGACCTTATGTACTATTACATACAGTGGCAGGCCAATTAAGACTTCCTCTATAAGGAAATCAATAATATCTTCAAGAAAAACAAAATCTTAATTTGTACAAAAATTCAGATTGGAATTTCAAACATTATACTGAAAAAAGTGATCTTTAGTTGTCATACTTCTATCAAATATCTCTTCAATCTAAAACAAGACAAACAAATGGTAATGTTCAGAACATCTTAAAGTTTTTATTGCCAATCTAAATCTATTTTTCTTTCTTTTCCACTTTTTTAAAAAAAAATTTCTGAGCTAGCACATCAACGTAAATCATGCACTTATTCCACCAGAGAAGCATACAAGAACACAGTGGTCCATATCCCGACTTTTCTTCACCATTTAAACACTTCAAAAGGCTTCAATTCCTTCAACAATATCACCAAGTCCCATTCCTCAACATTGCTAAACCTACCAGAGGCTCCTTCCTCCAAGAATCATATGCTCAAGACTACAACTTAAAAGCTTTCCCTCTCTCAAAAATGGAAGGCAGAAGAACACAAGGACAAGGCTACTTGAAAAACAAGGCTAGTGTGTCTTACCTTGTGGAAGAAGAAATGGAGAATGACATGGATGAAAATGAGGAAGGTGGAAGGGAGGAAGAGAAGAGAAAAGGAGTGATGGATAGAGTTAGAGGGTCTAGTGGCATCAGCGATCGTGGCACATCGCGTTTGTGCCAGGTGGATAGATGCACCGCTGATTTGAAAGAGGCGAAGCAGTATCACCGGAGGCACAAAGTGTGTGAAGTTCATGCAAAGGCATCATCTGTCTTTCTCGCAGGAATAAGCCAACGCTTTTGTCAACAATGCAGCAGGTACGGTACAAACGTTACCCTTGAACGCACTTTTGCATAGTTTATATTAGCATTTAGCAAGGTGCACTTGTTGGAGTTTTTGAATGGTTTGAAACAGGTTTCATGAGCTCCTAGAGTTTGATGAAGCCAAAAGAAGTTGCCGGAGGCGCTTGGCTGGACACAATGAGAGGCGAAGGAAGAGCTCAGGTGAGAGTTTTGGAGAAGGGTCGGGTGGTCGAAGAGGAATCACGGGTCAGATGATCCAGAATCAAGAAAGATCAAGGGTAGAGATCATGACTACACTTCCTATGTCAAACTCTTCATTCAAGCGACCACAGATTAGATAGAGAAGCTGTCTGCTCTCTCTCTTCTGTCATCTAAAAATCCTCCTTTAAATCTATAAACAATGTAAAAAAAATATCAGCTGAGTCACGGTAATGACAACTGGTATAGAGAAAAATAATAACTACCAGTCTCTACTCTCTATGTATTCCTCAAAATGCTAAGACTTTCGCTTAACCCTGAGTTATTCATCAAAATGTCTAGAGTGTTTTGGAAGATATGGCTAATGATGTGTGTTACTCTTTTAGAGCCCCTTGTTACTCATTGTGTACGTAATGCTAATTGGTAAAAGGTTTTTAATACAGATTCGAGTAAGGAGTGTGACTTATCCAAGAGCACAGGAGACTAACCGAAAGCCACCACCACCACGGTCACGAATGATTTAGCTCTCTGAGAGATACTTTTGATGCTGCTGCAGATTTAGCATTCATTTATGCCCTTATAATCGAGATAAAAACTACAAGATTTGAATAAGCAGCGACCATTATCAGTAATTCGTTATATTTATGATAGAAGGAATTTCTTCCGAAGTCCAACCACTTTCTATATATATATGATTACTAGAAGATTAGCTCACTCTCCTTGAGCGTTAGAGAAAGAAAGACAGACGAAAATATCGTAAATGGGCCGATAAGAGCCCAAAACTATGGTGATCAAAATGATTCAAAAACTTGTTTTTTTCTCTCAGTTAGTCAATATAGTGCTTGATGGAGTCGTTACTTGAAGAGTACGCAAACGTTCTCTTCTCCCAGTTATCGAATCATAATAATACGTCTGATGTTTATTAAACGTTAAGCAAAATCGAAGAGTCCAAAGTAAAAGATATTTACTCAAGCATGGATTTCTTAATGATAATTTGTGGTCCCTATGGAATGGGCCAACGATGTGTCCTTAATAAAGACCCGAATGGGAGACAACAAGCCACATTGTGAGATCTTTGTCTACAATTTTTCTTGAGTATATTTTTTCTTTTTGTTCCTTAATTCATTTGCTTCCTTGCATCAAATTAGTTATTGGCTGGAACAAACATTGCCACTTTGAATACAAAATATATAACTCATGTATGCACTCAATCCGATCTATAGTTAAACTATTAATTTTACTAGGTTAAAAACAAAACAAAATACACCAACTAACCAAATTTGGTTAAATAAATGCATTATTGACAACTAACCGATTATAACATGGATGACACATCACCAAAGTTTGTATATGAATCGAACATATATGTACTCTTGAGGTATGGATTAATCAAAAGTTCTTAGTTTTGTAATTTATGGTAAAATATTAAACACTGGTTCTAGTACTCTAGCTATGGTAAATAGCATGGGTTTCAGAATCTTTTAATTTTGTATATTGATTATGAATCTATCATCATGCTAGTTGTTAGTCAATTACTGAAATTTGCAATCCGTTTTACTTAATTGCATAAATTTATATAGTATGTAATGTAATTTTTCATGTAAATACATATTTGGCAAAAATTCATATTCTAACTATTTCATTAACTAATGGAGTATGTCTGAATCTATATCCACATAGGTCTAAATCTTAATATATGCCCTATAGATTCCATTTGCATATGATACCAGTTAGATTATTAATAAAAAAAAATTATCTTCTTCTTTTGGTTGTCTTTTAAATATATATTTTTTTTTATAAATTTGGATAAAGCTACTGTTGCTTTCTGCTGAAAACTTTAGAGTATTTTTCGTTTACTCCCTCTTATGAGAACCTTCAAAGTTCAAGGAGTAAGTGCCTCTGGCCTTTACTTTTCTGAAAGAAAAAAAAAATCATCAAACAACAAATTTAAACAATAAGTTAACAATATATAAGAAACTATGATAGCATAGATAATACCTCGTGATTAAAATTCTGAAATAGAGCAACATGTGGGATCGTTTAGGGATCCAAAAAACTTTTAGAGACAAAATCATGACACAAACACCATAACCATTACTTCACTTGGATCTCTCATTCTTCTATTGCCCCCACAAGTAGTCAAACACTGAGCTGGCCAAGTCTTTTGACTGCCGTACCCATTTCACCACGTGTCCCACTTCAAACTCCGATCCCTATAATATAAAGGGAACACAACTAACTGTAAAACACCTTCACACAAAAGTACCATGGAGGATGACCGGAAAAAAACCCTAAACTCCGGTGATACCATGCCGGAGACGCCGTCATCAATTATCTCAGACTTCGAATTTGGATCATTGACTCCTTTTTCCCCAACACACTCGGAAAATTCTCCCGCCGATCACCTTTTCCTCAACGGCCGTCTATTACCACACACATTTCCGACCACACGTTCGGTATCTCGTACGACCAGCGAAAACACTTTCCGGAGCAACAGTACGAGCAGCCGGAGTAGTGATAGCAGCAGCCCGACATCTTACACTCCAAGAACAAGCACTTGTAGTGTCCTCAAGATCAAGAAACCGAGTACCGATCAGGAGAAGACTAATTTAACTTGTTTTGGTCCTCGGTCCAAAGAGATTATGGGTCTTAGGTCAGGAATATGCCGTAGTAGCAAAGCATATCATCACAAGCCATCGTCAATATTGGATTTAAAGAAGAAACCACTGACTAACAATGGTAAAACGGTAAACACTACAAGGGCGGCGAATAAGATTTTGTATTTTCCGACGCAATGCAAAAGGAAGAAAGCCACGGAGATCGTGACGGCGCAGCTTTACGGGTCGTATTCTAGGCGGTGGCAGCATATAACTCCGGTGTTTAAAAGAGAATGGTCGGTGAAAAGTAACGGAGCAGCTGGGATTAAGGTCAGTGGACGGAAGAAGAAGACGGCGAGGAGGAGGAAGAAGAAGAAGGCAGAGGAGAGTAAGGGAAGTAAGTTAATGAAGTGGTGGAAGATGATTTTAAAAGCGGTGGTGTTGGCTTGCAGAGAGTGTCATGCAATGGAGCCTCAGAGAGTTGTGAATGATGATGCTGCTGATGTGAAAAAGAAGATAATTAAATGTCGATAAACAGTTTTTTTATGTAAATTTTTTACCATTTTTTTATTAGTAATCTCTTGTTTTTTTTTCTTCTTAATAAAAGTGTATTTGTGAGAAAGAAAATATATACACTAATATTCCTAAACCTAAGTACAATTTGAACTTACAATTTGAAAATAAAAAGATGTTTTATAACACAACAAAAAAAAGCTCGAGTTCCTTTAACCTTTAGAGTGACTAGATTTTGTATCCGCGCTACGCGTGGGTATTTTGTTGATAAAAATAATATGCAATTAATTATATTTATTAATATATAAATTTTATATATTAGTATTTTAATAATATATTAAAATATTATAATGTTGATCTAATAATTTTTATGTACATTGTGATATTTTAACGGTTTTGTTTTGAATCTATATACATGATATCATATTTCAAAAATATATTATTTAGTCAAACACTTAATATACCAAAACCAACTAAAATTTTTACAACTTAATCAAATGTTACTTTTTAAACATAGTATTAACATGATAATAAAATATTATACATTCACTTATTTAAATCAAAAAAATAATTTTTTCCATCATTTTTACTTATAAGTTAATCTTTTTTCATTAGTTTGTTTAACAAATAGAAATTTTTATTTTGATAAATTAATTTAAAAAACAAACTAATAATTAAAATATTTGCTTTGAGATTAATAACAACTTTAAATTTGAAACTAAAACAATAGTTGAATATGAAATGAATAAAATCACACAAAATTTGTGAATAAATATATTTTTATCAATTAGTAGTGTATTTAAATGATTAAATGTCATCTCTTCTAATAAGAATGAAATTTTCTTTTCATCTTCTTCATTTTTATTCTTGTTATAAATCTGTTTTTTCAATGAGTCTATCATATTTATTTATTTTAATAATTTATGTATGATTATATTCAGTTTCATCATAGTCATTCTCACTTCTAATTGTAATTAAGTAGATAAAATCAGTACAATTTAATATATACAAGTTTATAAAAAATGAAATAACAAATTGAACAACTCAAAACTAAGAACTTCTACATTAATCTATTGAATTCCAAATTGAATATATAAAATGTAAATTTTTTGATCATTTTTGCATAATATATTACATGAGAAAAAAAATATTACATATTTTCGCATAATATATTACATATTTCGATGATATGTTTTGCATATGTTAAAAAAAGATGAATATAAATCATAAATATTAGTTATTTAAAATTCTACATGAAAAGTTTTAAAATCAAGTAACTTAAACTTGTATAATAGTTATATTTTTTTATAGATAATAAATTAAATTTGTGATTTAAACAGTGATAATGGAGCTTTTAATATCATGTTGATTTTTTTCTTGGTTAATAGAGATTTTTTTATTTTTTAATATATTTTTAATCATAATATTAGAATTATGAAACTTTTTTTTTAGTTTATAATTTTGATATATACGAATAAAAATAAAAATTTAAATACTGATGTGGATGCTTTGAAAATAATATAGCTTTAACTATCATTAATAATAGAATAATTTTAGTTAACAAATTTTCCTATATTATTTTGTATTAACAATGTAATTTTATAATTTAGAGAAACTTTTAATTTTAGTTATTGATGTGAAATAATAAGATTGACCTTTTATATTTTAGATGGATGTCCTTAGAGGCATATAGCTTTAACTTTTATTTTTCTTTAAATATATTTGTTTGTTAACAATATAATTTTAAAATTTAGAAATATTCTTAATTTTAAATATTGATATGGACCAAGATAATTAAACTTTTAAATCATATATGGACATTCTTAAAGGCATATAGCTATAACTTTTATTGATAATAGATTTAGAAATCAAAACTAAAAAATCTCACACGAGACTCGTTGCGGCAAGTGATTTTAGCCTCTCCTCTTTATTATGAGTCTTATCGAATGTATTCAGATGCTGCTTGGTCAGCTAATTGTTACTTTTGTGGTTCATATTGGGTTGTTAAAACTCATTCAGATGCTATGTTATTTCAAAAAATTTCCTCAGATACCTCAGTCTCCTTTGCTATGTTTTTTTCTCTATTTTCAGTGTTTGGTTTTTCAAAATTGTCGAGTATCAATCACTTGATATGTTTCTCGGATTGCTGAAATTTATCATTGTTTTCAAATTTGGTGGCCAAGCTTTGGAGATTTTATGATATCTTTTTCAATATTAAAGCGGCTTATAGTGTCTTTGTTTATATCTTTTTCATTATATTCTTTATAATTTAGCTAATAATTAAACATATAGTTTAGTCAAGTTTGTTCTTGTAGTGGCTTTATTTATATCTTCTTTCATTATATTGTTTGTAATTTAACTAATAGTTAAACATATAGTTTAGTCAAGTTAGTTCTTTTACGTTGTAATAACTCATTTTTTAGTAAAACCTTACTCTATCTTTTGTCTTAGTTTATTTTACATGGTTGCACACACAGAAAAAAAAAAACTTAAAAATTATTATAATTATGTGACAAAAAAATTGGATGTTCATATAAGAGTCTCTAAATATGTGTGTATATATCTAATTTAAATTTAAAATTTCCTATTTTAATATTGTTTATTTTAGTTTTTTATTGTTAATATCAATTTTATATATAATTTTTTTTTACTTTTAATAATTTTAAAAACAATAATAGAATTTGGAAATTTTTCAATTTTCAATGTTGAGGTGGACCAATAAATTTTTTTATAAGACCAATAAACTTTTTTAATTTTCTTTTTCAGCAATAATATTACACTTTGTAAATTTTCCTTAATTTTCAATGTTGATGTGGACCAATAAAATTGATTTTTTAAATCCTATGTGGATACATTCTTAATTTTCTTTTTTCAGCAATAATATTATAATTTGTAAATTTTTCTTATTTAAATTAAAATGTTGATATAGACCAATTAAATTGATTTCTTAAATCTTATATGGACACTATTAGAAGCATTTAACTTCAACTTTTATTAGTATAAAATTTTGGTCGATATAACTAACGTTGTGATTTGTGAATTAGGATGATCAATTTAAATATAATAAATATCAGGATCTAAAATTTAATCTACAAAATATTATACGGACACATTTTGATCCAGCTGATAGTTAAATATAGGATTCGGTGCACTTAATACGGTTATTTATGAGGACATGTTCACGAATTTGATCATATCTTCATTGTTTGTGTTAAACTTTTAGTTTTAGTAAAAATATTGTCATATATCACTTGCAATGATTTTGTTTTTCCCAAACTAATATATTTGATTAAAAATATTGTCATATATCACTTGCAATTATTTTTTTTCTCAAACTAATATATTTGATTTTATAAAAGAAATTACAAAACACAGCAAAAAATTCAAAGATGTCTTCAAACATAACTAGCACAGGGGACCAATCGGAAAAAGAAACGACTCAAGCAAAAACAAAGTAAACGGAACTACAAAAGGTTCAGTCAATGAAGGTCTTGTTCCGGTGGTCAATGACTCACTCGGATTCGCTTGGTTCTCCGAATTAACTACTACTCTAGTTATATGGCTTTGATGGACCGATACTTTGTCACCCAAACCTTCCATATCAAATAGCAGCTTAGAGTCGTTGACATTATCAGTCAACGCATTGAAGAAAGACACCCATTGGGCCAGTTCATGTCACTGTCTCTTTCTCTTTGTTTTGTTTGGATGACGTGATACCGGCATATAAGGATGGAAAGTAGACAATTTTGGGAGCGGGAATTGTGGATGATTCATCTCGTTGTTAAAAAGCGGATGAGATGGTTGTTGTTTTGGGACGATAAGATGGTTAAATTCAGGTAATGCAATGGCTCGAGTATGTTGTTCATTTTAGTGCTAAGAAATACAGATTTGTTTTTGAACACATCATACTAGTTAAAATTACACTTTACAATACTTTAGACTATTTTTTATCGAAATTTATGATGTGAGATTTGAATTGATATCCCAAAATAGTAGCCAGTTGGTTTATATGTGTTCAACGTTTTGATATGGACTTTTGTATTTCATAAAAAATATACGTTGTAAAATAGTTGACTTGATATCAATTATTCAAGGTTTTCTTTATTTTGATATATGTAATCATGTATATGCATTCTATTTTCCTGAATTTCTGAAGTTATATGTAAAAAATTATGTGTCGTAGTAATTACTCCTTTCAGGCTAGGCCACACCACCCCAACTTGGAAACCCATTGAAGAGGAGAGTCAGCACAAGATCAAGAAAGTAAAGCTTTGTTACTTGTGAATTGTGAGACAAGTGAAGGTAGAAACTTAGGAAAAATACTTCACATGTGATTAAAAAAGTGTCCAAAGTGCTTTAGAGTGTAAAACTGTAAAATCACTCGAGGAGACTTAACCCAAGAAAAGAGAGGAGACGAGTTATGGGCCTACCTTATGCCTCGTTAAACTAGTTAATGGGCCTATGTTATGCCTAGTTAAACAAGCTTATGGGCTTATCTAATGCCTCGTTAAGATTGGGTCTACTTTAAACCAAAACGCTGCGATAACTTGGGTCGGGTCGTTTATCTTTAGTTGGATTGGATAGTTAAGGTTTTTCTCCCCATTATTTTTTGTAAGGTAATTAAAAAAAAAGGAGGAGTAGAAGTAAAATGAGAATTGAATAATCAAATCGATGAAACTTCATAAACGAGCAGTTCTTCTTCTCGATCTCTTGGTGCTCGAGAAAGAGCATTGGAGATAGAGTTTTCTTGGGAAGGTAATTAGAAAACGAAGACTGAAGAGGGTAAAAAAAGAGAGGATCTGTAAATATTCGCGCGTCTTCTTCTTCGTCGAACTATCAGGTAATCTGAATGCGATCCTGGAATTTCTCTGATTTTGACATCGAACTCGAATAAAAATCTGGACTTTTTTTCGTGATTGATCGAATGGGACAAAATTTGGATAAGGGCGTTTCAAATTGCGTGTGTTTTGCTATTTGCTATCTTATAGTGGATAATTTTTCTCGGCAAGTTGAAAATTTTC